GTTTTCAAGTGGAACAAATCTGTCGTCAAGTTGTTGGGTGACCAGCACAGGAGAGAGAAGGAAAAGTGTTTTTAATCATTATTTCATACGAATAATGAAAGGATTTCAGTGCATTTTAATTATGTCATGCATTTCATAGTTATTTCTATGTATTCACTCTGTTTAAATTAACTGTTTTAATTAATTTTTTGTGCAGCACATTACGCGCCACTTGTAGACTTTAAATGTGCCATATAAATAAAGATGTCTTGACTTGATTAGCTTGCCACCTGTCATAAGGCTCTGATGCACTGACTTGAAAGAAGGCTCTCTGGTAAATGAACTGTGTGTTATAAGTAAAAACATGTTATTAGTAGCAAAACATCACCTATTTGGAGGAAGTGCAAATATTTTAATTTATGTACTTAAACCACTTAGAAACCCTAATCTGCAAGAAAAAAAAACTGTAAAATTATAGTAAATTTCTGGCTATTAGTTGTATTACTTTCACAGTAACTTACTGTACCACATTAACAGTATATAACCGTAAAACTATAAATGTGTAACATACTGTGACGCAGTTAGTATACACAGTCACTTGGACCACAAGATTACTGTGATGTTGCTGTATTTGGCTGAACACTGACAGTTATAACCTGTAATTAAAATACAGTAATCTCCTGTATTTTTACATAATGACTGTACGACTGTAAAGGAAAGCAACTCAGCAGCAGTACTTTACTGTAAAGTTTACAAATTTTGTTTTTTTAAACAAAGTAAAATATAATTCTTCACCTTTTGCACTGCATATATACAGAATATCTCAAGTATGCATGTTTAATTGCAAATGCACATTTACATGTTGCCTATACTTTGCAAAAACACGACCAAAAATTAATTTTGGCAAAGCCATTTTTGTCAACACCTCAATATTCCAGCATTAAACATTCAAAAGGCTCAGCATAAAATTTTAAAAGTCTTTAAAACACCAAAACCTGACTTGTCAGAATAAAAAAATGTTTTTTTCCTTTTTAACTCTCAGTTGCTATCATATCCCAAAATGCTGTGTGATACAGCCCAATGTCAACCTCCTTGTAATCTTCTGTGTTATGAGTTGATTTCACAATAAAATGATGAATGCAGTGTGAAAAATCTTAATGCAGTGTGAAAATCCTGAATGCAGTGTGAAACATTTATGTTAAAAATGGTGAAATCCTGGCAATAATCACCAGTGTGGACTTGTTCTTCAGTTATTAATCTTAAGACTTATTATTTAAGTATTCAAACATTTCTGTTTTTTGTGTTATTTCCATTATGAGAAAGTGGTAAACAAGTTATCTAAAATGTGATGGCTACGTTGCTGAAGCCCTCAACTTTCTAAAGTTCACCAAGTGACATTAAAAGACCGGGCGAGATGCAAATGAGCAGCGCGTAACGAATGAGCCCAAATTAAGCTGCTTTAATTGCACATGACAAGACAGACAGGAGCTACAGAGCTTCTGCACCTCTCTCTCCTTCTCTCTCTCTTTCACACGCACACCATTCACGATCACCCATCTGCTCCCATCATTATCATTAAGAGTGGTCTTATTGAGTCTAATTACAACTGATAAAAAAGAAAAAGGCTCAGAGTTTCTCTCACCCCTACAAATAAGTAGCTTCTCTAGCTACTGAGAGTACAGAGGCTGTTTTTGAACGGTCATGCCTTGCCTACATTTCTTTGTGCCAACTGGACACTAAAGGAAGCCATGTCACTTGTGGGTTTTGGGTTTCTGGCTGCTGTGTTGAGGAGCAAAACACTTCACCCCAAAACAACATTTTGTTTCTGTTCCTTTTCCACAACCAGTGACTACATCCAGTGCACATATTCAGGGCCCTTACCCAGATTAAGTGAAGGTTAAACCAGCGATGTTCTCACTGACTATTTATCAGTAATAGAATAATAACAATTAATTTGATTAGTGATCATTTTAGCACACAGCACACTACAAAGGCCACAAATGTAAACACCATGAAGATAACTGGATCATTCTATCAAACTGGGTCAAAGTCAGACAATTTTAGCTAATTTTGAGCATTACTCAAAAACACTAGCAAGTACATGACGAGTTAGCACAGTTTGAACATTTGAACACGCATAAAATCATAATATTTTTCATTAAAGCACAAAAAGTTTATTTAATTGCAGAAAATCTGTGTTTCAGTGACAATTCATAAAGTTACACATTGATTTTCAGACTTTGGGACACATTTACTTCACGTGGCCATGAAGGGCAGGGATGCAGTCTCACGTCCTGCTCTAAAATGCAGGGGTGTGGCTAACATAAGACTCCTAAGGCTATCTAATCTAATGTCTGAATACTTATTCAGTCAAACAGTCCACATATAAATAAAAGGGATATACTTATTGATAGATTTCTTTACACTGGTGGTGATACGACCCAGAAGTTATTATGTCTATAATGTAAAAATATAGACATTTTATTTGCTGTCTGCAAGACCCAGTGATCCTGCACATTTTCTGTGTCTTTATATGTAATGTTGATCAGGCTAACATTGTGGTCAATCCAAAAACATGCGTCTTCTTTGGATACTTCTTGCCCTAAAATGCTCTGGATGTACCTCTCTGTCATTTAAGGATGTTAAAAATAGTCTTTTATGCCAAAACATCTCCTCAAAGCTATTGTACACTAATGGCTCAAGCACCTGACAACATAGTAGCAACCAATTCATGTGAAAGCTCTCTGTGAGGTAGCTTTTGGAGGCATTCAAAGCTTTTAAAAGATGTGGATGTCTGGTTACAATCACCACCATTGTAAACAATTACAAGTTTCTTTAGAACACTGCATTTCACATCACATCACTCTGAAAGATCCTTTTACGGCTTAACGGTTAAACTATGCAGTAACTTTTGAAAGCTACAGATTTCTGAAACTGTGCTACGGTTTGGCTTCTGGAGTCACTGTTTATCATGGTCTAATGATCCGTTCTGTATATTCTGCTGAAGGACAGCTGCCTTGTATCATTTGTTTTCTACTTTTTCATCAGTTTGTCTGCAAAACTCCACATTCCACTGTTTTCTCTGTCATTCTCTTTCACACTGAAGGCCTCATGCACTAAGCCAGTTGTTTCAGACACGAGTCAGACGTATTCTCCCTGCATGTTATGTACGAAACTGGCACACAGGCCTAAACGTTTGTTTTATGGGCAATGAGCATTCTAAAACTCACAATATGCCTCCATACCTCATGTAAATGCATTTGAAGAAGGATCATGGGAAAATGCAAGAGGATCACACAGAAAATGGGTGAAGCCACTGGCAGTTAGACGGATTCCGCTCAATTTACTTACATTTGCGCGACTAGCAGGGACCGGTGGTGGATTTTTACCGCCTTTAAAAACGAGGCCTAAATCTGCAGTCTCAAAAGCATGTCTAAAAGCAGAATGATACTACTTCCCCTCTTAAGGTCAGACGTACACACCTGAGAGGAACAGCATGCGCCACAATGTGTATCACACTGTGTTTCACAAATTCGTTCTTATCTAGAGTAGAATTACACCCCTATAGGTAGTTTTGGTGGAGGAAATTTGGTTTATGAACACTGCTATGTCTTTGTTGCTAAACTATCATTTTATTAGCTTTTTAACAGTTCCATTATTTCACTGCACCTTTTAAAAGCCTGCATCTCAAAAGCACCTAGTGAGTGGTCCGGTGTGTGTTTTGAGGTCCTCTCTGCAGCCTCCGAAAATCAAACGTTAAGTTCAGACGCACTGTGGGTGCATATTGCAATTGTATCAAGGCACTTCTTGCCCTTTGCCTGCTTTCGTACGCACAGCTGGCCTTGACTCTAGACTTCACTGCTGATATTGTGGTGTAAAATGGACAACTAAAAAGGGACAGTGATTGTTAATCCACAAAATAAAATTTCAAGCCTCGACGCTGTTACAGGTCATTTAACCTGGACATAAACAATGTCAACATCAGCTTCAAAATTCCCCTTGGGCCCATTTTTTGAAAAATATGTGGCGGACATTTTTCACTGCTTGAAATTTCAGTGCATCTCTAAGAAAAAAACGGACAAAAATTTTGACCAAAAAAAAAAAACCTAAGCACTTTATTTTGATAGTCCTGTGTGGATGCTTTGTAGACGGTCAGTCTGTCTTTAAGTAACAACTAAATATCTATGAAAGGCAACTCAGCTTCAAGCTAAGAGTGAAAGATTCTATTAAATTTAACCTTAACTTCAATACAAAACCTACACCTCCTCCTAAACCTAAACCTTACCATAATGGTGTGGATAATCAACTGTTTATCACCAGAAAGTTGGTTAGTAATCTTAGTATCTGTAGATCATCTATAGGGGACCATAAAAGAAACTGTTACCCAAAAAGTAAATAAATATTATGAATAAATAAATACAACAAAATTTACAAATAAGGTAATAGTGAGAAATAGTGATTAAAACACTGTTCATTTCAGCAGCAGATGTGTAAGCAGCAGCAGATCAAAATGAAATGTTGACCACATGGAACTTTTCTCTGTTCTTACAAGAGATTTACAATCTCTGTTCATACTGAGTATCAAGAGGAGGTACAACAACCAAATAACGTCCCCACTACAGGTTTGATATCACTTGAAAACAACACCCAGTTCGATACACAGAATACAACGAAAAAAAAAAGGTAAAAGAGGAAAGTCTCTGCTCACTCGTTTTTAAAATGATGACAAAAAAATTCACATACAACAGAACCAAAGTGCAAAATAGACTAAACAAAAACAAACAAAAAATAATGAAATTCATTGCTTGTATGACTAACTGTTCTCTGTTCTCAAGGATGTTGAATCTCATTTCACATAATGTAAACTATATACTGTAGTAATTTTAGTAAGGATAAAATTCATTTCTGCCAGATTTTTCCTATTTTCTCTTTCTTTTTTTGGCGAAGTGTGTTTCAAGTTTCATTTCATGTTTGACCTAATTGTAATGAAGACTTAGAGAGCTGGATGTGAAGAAACTCACCGTGGTGGTTTTGACCCGACCCCCGGGCTGTGTACAAGTCCAGCCTGACTGGTTTACCAACAGATCGCAGCCTTCATCCTCCAGACATGGTACCATATCACACCACTGCTTGGTCCTCACAATACGAGCTGTGGAACAGGACAGAAAACGGTTACACAGCATATAGACAGCACTTAGCGCGCACACACACACACCACACACACACACACACACACACAGACAGACACACACACACACATACACACACACACACATACACACATTCATGACTCAGTCTCAGTGATAGCGTCAGCATGGGATTACACACTGGTGGGCAAAAAGAAATGCAAAAATGTTTTGTAGTAATAATCAGTAGGGCTGCAAAAAAGCATGAAGGTGGCAAATCAACTGCATCAATTTCAGAACGTTTGAATCAATTACAAATTGATTAGAATAATAGTATAATAGAAATATTTAAAATAGAAATCTTGAAATAGACAAAAAGGAAGACAATTTGCAAACAAAGAAGCTGCTGTTGTTCACAAAACAATGGACTGACCTCCCCAGAGTCCAGACCTCAACATCACTGACTGTGTTTGGGATTATTAGGATCACGAGAAGCAGAAAATACAACTAACCTCTAAAACTGAACTTTGGAGGTGTGGAAAAATATCTCTGCAGATTTCTTTAAAAAACTGAAAGCATCCCTCCTGAAAAGAATGGAAGCTGTAATAAAGTTAAAAGGTGGACACACTAAATATATAGAAAATATATTATAATTAGTCGTTGAGGCTTCTGTGTAATGTTCTGTTAACTGTATGTCTTCTGCTGTTTTTTTCTGATACAAAAAATAAATAGCTTACTTATTCACATTTCTTTGCCATATTTCAGTTCTTTTCAAAGATGTAAAGCCAAACCATTTCCCACGCACTCTTCACTGCTGCACACAAACCATCCAAACTGGTTGGATTTTTCTTCTCCCCAACATAGTCCCACATGTCAATGCAGTTGAAATACAGTGAAGAGCAGTCTGGCTTTTTGCATGTTCTAGTTGGAATATCCAATCTTGGTCTTAATAAAAAGAAATATGCTGAAAATACACCACAACATATTCTATAAATCTATATTTTGGAATATAAAATTAATTTTTCATTGTTAAATGTCATTCCAAACTACTGACTACACATAACAATGCATTTCACTTTCTGAGCGAGTTGGTGCCTTATCTTTAATTGAACAGAAGCTATATGTCTTTAACCTCATCAGAAACGTCTGCAATACAGCAGCGTATGACGTGTGCCTGAGCAGTTCTTTTTGACCGCCGGCGCAGTACCATGGTGTTTCTGGATTTCTAAAACATTTAATTTGTGTTCATGTCAGAAAGAAGAGACCACTCACACTAAACATGATCGATCGAACTGTTCAGGCTGAGTGTGAAGGCAGCCGCAGCAGCAGTGCTGCAGTGTTTTCATGTCATGATCAGCCTGAGCCTTGGCTGTGTAATTCGTTCCTGCTTGTCACGTAGGAAGGAGATCACAGTGACATGTACAAGCTGGTGTGGACTTTAGCTCTCCCCACTGTACCACACCCTAAAAAACATGATATCCTGACCCCCAGCTAGGGGTGGGCACTATGGTGATTTGTTATCTTTATTAAAATAAATTGCACCACAACACAATTTTCTGAAGCCATTTTCAACTATACAAAGTACCAGAACCTTTGGCACCACAAAACTGGAACTGCGTTTTTCATTGGTCACTGGCCCAGTTCTGAAGGCTACAGTTTTATGCCACTTGGTACCCGCTCAAGACTGGTACCAACTAGGCCAGGGCGATATTTAAAAATAATTATCATGATATTTTCTGGTTAAAAAATTTGTGATTATTAATAATATGGCCCGTTTCCCACAAAAAAGGTCTGTAGCATCTTCGACCTACTTTCTAATATTAACTGTTTCAATGAAAATCTTTAATTAAATTCAACCCAACATCTTTTGAGAATTACTTCATCTGTCATTATAATAAACATTACTTCAAACATGAGTTCATTAGCTGCTTCTGCTGCAGATGCACAGCGACTTGCGTGCTAACAGCGCTCCCTGCTAGAGAAACTTCAGACTTCAAGTGATTTCCAAAGCCAGATCCTTATATTTACCACATAAAAAACAACGCATTTTCCATCGATACAGCGGCGTTTTCATAATTCAGCTAACCACCGGGACACTTAATCTGTACAGAAAATACTGCACTCCGGCCATAGACGAGCGTCAGAGGAACTTTCTCTTCAGGTTAGAGTTAACTGAGCTGCTCTACGCAAACCTTCGGCCATTTTAGCTCGTTTTACTGTACATTTATATAAATATACTTATAATGTACATTTATCATACACATACTTTCATAATAATACAAAAATAATAATAACAACTGACAATGAGACTCAGAAAGAGCGAAAGGCTAACTGTCTCATTTTCAATGCATGGTATAGGACAGTAACTGAAACAGCTTTATAACATGCAGCATTAAATTATAATAAAATATCCAGAATGAAGTTACATTAAAATGAATATCCAGAATGACATGCAAAGGGAGACAGCTTGATAAGAAATTACTATAAATAGATAATTACAAAACACTATTTATCATTTAATAAATTCATATTGTTTCACAAAAAACTTTAAACACTGAAGAAAACATCTAAAAGATATCTTAAAATAATCTCTAGTGTCTTATTTATAACAGTCTACACTGCATAAGTTATTACTGAATAAAATAACAGTTGGCATGTGTCAACTTTTTAACTGTTAAGTATAACTTAAATAAAATGATTATACAAGTAAAACTGGTAACTGGTACATCTACAGTGAAACACTATGTCTGCGAGACTTGCAATACCCAGGTGAGACTGTGCAGTAATGATTTTTTATCACAGGAATGATCAAACTCTACTGGACATTTGCAGATTTTTCACTTAAGCCCAGCACGTTTTCTTACACAAATTTTGTTTACACACATTTTCCCTTGACCGATGTTCTTCAAACCCAGCTTTTTGTTTCAGTATATCAGTTTGGTTCCCTTGATATCTTTAGTTCTGCTCTTTAGTTTAAGAAGTAACAGTCTAAACAGAATAATTCTAGCTATTTCCCATAGACAACTATTCCCATAAGAAGCTTTTCATATCATCACAACTTCCATGAATTAGAGGCAATGTTGGTAGTTGGTTACATACATAATTTAAAGCCTTTTTTCCTTTTTTTTTTAAATTTCTAATTAACTTTAATCAGAGAGTTCACTCTAAAAGCCTGTCTCCAGAAAGCCCTGATTACTCTCTGGAAAAGGTGTCTATGCTCTTTAATCGAGGATGATTGCTCTTTCATATCAGACGCCTACCATTCTCCAGCTTTCACTCACATTTATTTTGTTGGTGCAAATATGACTCCTGACGTCACTGATGTGTGAAGCGGATGTTTGGTAATAGGAAGGGATGGTGTACAATCAGGGACGTGCCTAATTGCTGCAGATTTGCATTTCTGCCAGCGAAGAGCCTATGACGAATTTCTGATGCTTCAAGGAGACAAAAAGAGGGAGCAATCAGTCCTAATTGTGGGTATAATAGATGAATTTAAAGCACCAGTAATCATAGCAATGAAGCTGCTTAAGGCATATCAGTGTCACCTCTCTGTTCTGCCATTCACACAATGACCAAGCAAGAGCAGTTAATTAGCATCCTCAGAGTGACTCTACCCACATCCCACCACACACCCACACATATGTTAGGGCTAAACGATATAGGAAAAATACTGCTATTACATTGGTATGTACTGTAATTATGATACACATCGCAATACGTGGAAAATGCATTAGTGACTCCATAATCTGACGTGGTTAAAGATCAGCTTGTGCTATTATGACCAAAATCATTTACTTCTGTTGACTACATGAATACACTGATTAATCAAAATGCTCAATTGGAACTGCGACTGGTCAGGATGCTGACAGCACACAGTAAAATACACTGTGATTGGTTGTACAGCTCATTTGCACACAGCAGCCTTATATCAGTATTACAAAGGCCACTATAGCTATAACACACAGCTAGCCCAGACAGCATTTTATAGGCTTCGAATACTCATTGATATTTACAAACGAGTACTCAAAACTCCATTTTCAAAGTCATCCTTCAAACAGTAACATTTTCTGTCATTTGTAGTCCTCAGATGTTTCCATTTTAGTTAGTGTTTCAGTCCACACTGCATGTTAGTCTGTTAAAGAGCAAGCCTAGTTTTGTTCTAGTTTGCATGCAAGTGAGACATAAACTCCACAAAGATCCAGTCAAATCACATTTCCAGTTCCTATAGCATTCTAAACTCTAATTAAAGTATTAATTTACTTAATTCTAACGATCTTCTTGACAGTTGCCGGGCAGCTCCTGTGCTGTACTAACAGTTTGTGAAGAAGACTTTTCTCTGATACATTGGTAAAAACCTGTGATTGTGATTGTGTCGAAATAAATAGATCTCTTGTCTGTGCTGTCAAATTTTAAACCTGCTACAAAACAGTTAAATTACAAGAGAGAAGAAAGGACTGATATTTCCACCTGAATGGGTCACGCAATAAGTCAGTGGATAGAGGATATGACACATGGTGGTGGTAGTACTTGGATAAGTATCAATATGCTTAAATATTAAAGATGACTTATCATACTTCTCTTGCCTCCATGGTGTACCAGCTTCTTATTGGAAAACTTTAAGAGCTCCCACACCTGATTTCTTTCAGAAGGCATCTCTGCTGTTTTAGCTGCAATGGCTGTGTGGAAAGCAGTGTAGTCTGTTGCACTCTTAACCATCGTTAAACTAAGTTAAAATAATAATGAAAAAAATGTTTCAATGAAAAATACTTCTAGCACAACATCAAACTTATATCAGAGAGTAGGAAATGTTAATGTCTGGGGCTGTTTTTCTTACAATGGTGTTGATGAGCTTGTATTCATTGATGGGATCGTAAACTTTGAAGTGTTCAAAGGTATTTTGGATGCAAAACTGCAGAAGAAACTGCTCAAATGATAACAGTCTGAAATAAACCCATCACCTTTTGAAAGAACACCTTGCCAAAAAGAAAATTACAGTGCTGGAATGGTCTGTTTAAAATAAATG